TCAGAGTGACTTATTTGTATCTCTGAGCCTGGCTCACTGCCTGGCACAAAGTAGATCAAAGGACAAAGAAGGAAGGAAGAGAGGGAGGGAGGGAGGCAGGAAAAGAGAAATGAATAAATGACATTAATCCAAGCATTTTCCCCTTCTCTTTATGCTTTTTTTCCCCCTCCCACTCGCTCATCTTTTTTTTTTTTTGGCTGCATCAGGTCTTAGTTGTGGCATGCGGGGTCTTTTGTTGTGGCACGTGGGTGTCTCTCTACTTGTGGTGCGTGGGCTCAGTAGTTGTGGTGTGCGGGCTTACTTGCCCCACTGCATGTGGGATCTTGGCTCCCTGGCCAGGGATCAAACCCGCATCCCCTGCATTGGAAGGCAGATTCTTAACCCCTGGACCACCAGGGAAGTCCCTTCCCCTCTATTTCTCAGTCACCTCTTGCCTGGATTTCTCACACACACTGCTCTAGTTCTCTACCCACTGTCTCCCTCTCCTCTCCCACTAGATTTGATGACCGTCCCTTCTCATCTCTGAAGGGCACATTATTTTCTGGTTAAGCTCCTCGGCTAGATGCTTCACCTTGCACTTCAGAAAATCAAGTTTGTGGCGGATATCCCCCCAATGTTCTAATTCATTTACTGCATTTTCTAGGTTTTTGCACTCTCTTTGGCATTTTTCTCTTCTTTTTTTTTTTAACTTCAAAGGGCTCGTGAGTGACAGTGTTTCCAAATACTGGTTGAGAGGTGCTCTCTCTGTGATTTCTTCCATTTTAAGTGTTTCACCCATCACCTCTAAATGCCCACTCTGGTCCAGCCTTTACACAACCAAACAGCTCCTCGGATTCTGTCTCTGGCATCTCCCCGGTAAGAAGACAGTGGCCTTTGGCAAGGTCCCATCATTTACGAGATGAGCAAGACCTAGGCAAGTCAGCTACCTTATTCCGCATTCATCAGATGGAACTCTAATACTCACCTCCCAGAGGTTGTGTAGGTCAAATGAGGAAAATATATGAGAAATCTATCAAGTGCTAGCTTTCGGTTTCCTATCCTTTGCTTTCCGCCACCTAATTCAGGCCTTCATTTCCTCTCAATTCAAAGATGCATTCGCCTCTCAACCACTGTCCCTGCCTCTAACCTCTGCTTCCACGTGCAACCTGCTGGATATGCAAGTGCCAGAAAGATCTTCTAAGGCTCAGGCTGTGTTGCTTCAAAATGCTCAATAGCTTCCCTGCCTAAGAAGTAGAGTCCAAACTTCTGAGCATGCATTCTGAAACCCTCCCTGGTCTAAGGTCAGAGCCATGGTTCTCACCTCTCTGCCCTTTGTCTCCCAAATGGAGCCCACCTTCCAACCAGCTAGGACTCTTCCCATCCCTCCCTGGTCTGTCTTCACTCACCGAAAGTCTACTTACCCTTCAAGCCCAATTTAAATGAACACGCTCCTGGTATACGTTTTCTGAATCCCCACGAAGAATCTTTCCCTGCTGGGACTGCCAGTGTTTGCTTTCTACTTCTATGACAATGTCATCTCCCCTGATAGACTGTAAATGACTTGAAGTCATGGATTGAACCTCTTTATGTACCCATCTTTCTGTTCATCACAGAGCTTAGCACTGTGGTTTACACATAGTAGGTACTCAACAAGTTACATCTAATGATACATTCTTTAAAAAAATTTTTTTAATACCCCTAGGTGCCTAGCATTGTGTCAGGTGCTATGGCAGCTACGAAAAGCCTTGCCCTTGTCCCTGACTCAACACAATATTGTTGAGGTTACAAGATTCTTTCATATAGTTTTCTTATATATAAAAACTATATGAAAGAATCCGTGGAGACAATGCTTTGGGAAAGATCTGCAGTGCTCTCCTTACTTCCTGCAAGTAATAAATCCCTCCGTCTCCTGGGGGAAAAAAAAAGGAAGAAGAAGAATCTGTGATTACATGCTAAGTTCTTAGTCCCACTTAGTGTCTACACAGTTGCATGTAAAGATCTTTGAAAGGCTTTGTGTACACTTTTTAATTTACAACTTGTTTTAGAAATGACAGAAACATAAGAAATTACATCTTGAAATAAATACATTTGCTAAAATTGAGGCTAAATACATTGCACAATTGCTCTCAAAGTATTCTAATTTTAGGTCTTGACACAAGTGAAAAATGTTTACCATGGACAAGAAGACAAATTTCTCTCTGGTTAGCAGAATTTAAGGTCATCAGCTCTAAAAAGAAAGCTCAATCGAAATTTTAATGTATTTTTCAGGTTCCTTCTATTCTATCCACAACCTAAGTTATTAAACTTTTAGAATTATAAAAAAGCACAGAAGGACTCTGTGATGTTCCAGAAAGCACACACCAAGCGGGTAGGGATGAGGGGTGGGGTGAAGAGGTGGCTGGATTAGTGGAAGGACGGCGGGAGGGAGATGAGAATGCCTCTTGGTGAGTCTTTGAAAGTTCACTCTGAGCTCACAGCGCACTCCTGGCTGAAAAGGCTGGGAAACAAAGCTGAGATCCACTGAGTGTCAGCAGATGTGAGGTCAGTGCTCCCAGGCCCAGGTCCTGGACCTTGACCTACAGAAAAGTCTAAGAAGACGTGTGCGTTAACGACTAGAGCACTGAATTAAAAGTCTGTATTCTCTGGGACTTCCCTGGCGGTCCAGTGGTTAAGACTCTGCGCATTCCAACGCGGGTGTTGTTGGTTCGATCCCTGGTCAGGGAACTGAGATCCCACATGCCACGCAGTGTGACAAAAAAAGAAAAAAAAAGTCTGTATTTTCTGACTTCCAAGAGCCTGTGCACAAACAAAACACAAGAGAAAAAAACAAAAAAAGACTGATTTAGCTGCATAAGAGATGGCTGGGGTTCATTCTGGTTTGAGGTCAGAATGCTGGTGTTTCAGACTTGAATTAAAGCAAAAACACATATTTTCAGAAGTTTTAAAAAATTACTTCATTCCTGATATAAGCATGAACCTTAAAAGGTACCTTATATTTGCATTTGAATAAGCAGGTACTATCTGACATGCCCCATGGGTGTCAAAATATTTGGTGGGCTCTTGCGTAATTATGTTTTGGGTTTATACAAATAAAGTCTTAATTAGTACCACAGAAATTCTGTAGAAATTTCGACTATTCACACTGGATGTTGTTTGTTGATATAAAGGGGACAATTTCAATGTGTTCATCTCGTTGAGTATATATCTGAACACAGAAGCTGCCTTTAATATTGTAGGGTTTGCATCATGTAAACTGTCTCTCTCGTCCTGGCATCAGGGATCTCATGCCGCTGTCCCGCTGGCCCCAAGCCTCTTTCCTTCTTGCCATCCGTAATTCTCTCAAGTATGTGCTTTCAAATGAGTTCAGTGCCCAGATACTTTGAAATTATTTCTTTTCTTATCGAACCATCACATAACCGAACCTCCAAACACCTCACTTAAGTGACTTCTGTTAGCTACTGCAGGACAGACAGCAACCTGACACCCCAAATTAAAGGAATTCATGCCAGGGTGTGAACCAAAGATCAAATGTCCCATCTCTTCCTCTCCCTTAGTCTCGGCACCAGCAAATCTGTAACTCTCCCAGACACCCACTGTTTAAATAGGCGAATGAATGAATCCCTGAAATCCGGGAAGGGAACTAGGCAATTAGTGGAAGGTGAGGCACGGTGATGAGAAGGAAAATTCTGGGCACTGGGTGGGGTGGGAAGCTTTCCTGATACCCTTGAATCACACTGCTTGCGCTGGGGCTTCTCCATGTTGGTCTCACCCAGTCGCAAGGGTCCAGCGAGAATATTGATTCTGGAGAGGGTTTTAAGGGGGGTGGTAGATTAAAGGGGAAAAAACCCCCAAAAGTGCAGGGCTCTTTTATGTTGAATGCCTGAAGCGCTCAGAACACTTTATAATTGTGATCCTATTGAATGCATTTAGAACAATTAAGTCCCTTTTATAATGAAAACCAACGATCAATGGGCATTAAATTTATCCACTCTCTATATACTGCAGTAGTTTTTAATCTGCAATGAGGAGGTCTCTGCAAATCGGTCCCTAACTTCTGTTTTTACCTTTTCTGTCTCTAATCTGGTTATAACATCTGTCATTTTTATTCTTCCTCCAAAGGGTAGAGCCTGCTTCTCTCTCTCTTTTCTCTCCCTCTCTGAGGTGTGAATTGTGTTTATTTTCGCCTCAGAGCTGATGGACAGTTTCTGAGCGATAATCCCGTTCTCCACTCTGCTATTTCCGTTGAGAACTACCCTCGCGTTCACAGCCAGGCTGAAAGGCGTGTTCGTTCGCATTTTGAAGTTCCCAAAGTGGATCTGGCGCTCTTCTTGGCTGCTGTCGGCACGGCTGGACATTGCCATTTACTGAGAAGGCCAGCGCGCCCCGGAGCGAACTAGTGCCTCCAGAGCCCCGCCTCCTCCCACCTCGGTCAGCGCGGACGCCGCCAGGTGGATCCTGGCCTCCGGGGACGGTGACCGCCGGTGGGATCACCAGCACGGCCAAACCTCCCCGACGTCCTGCCCGCCCCGAGGGGGAGCCTCTGTACCCCGACTCCCCGCACTAGCCCGCCTCGTCGGGTGGCGTCTGAGGTGACCCTCCCCCATCAGTACTTACAAGCAGCTTTGGGGGCTGGTCGCGGAACCCACCTCGCCGGGAGTGGGGCGGCCCGGGCAGGGCTCGACCGCGCGAGGAGGGCGCGGGGGTGAGGCGGGAGTCTCGAGAGGTTCTCAAGGTTGCGCCGGGGATGGGCGCAGCGGTGGGGGGTGGGCGCGGGGGGTACGGGGTAGGGGTCCACGGTGAACCAGGAACGCGGGGGTGAGCGCCGAAGCGCCGGAGGTCGGGTGGGCGCTAAGTGGGCGGGGCCGTAGGAGAGCCCGGGAGGTGGGGCGCCAAGGGGGCGAGGGCGCGGGGCGGGGACGCAGAGAGGGGCGGGGGCAGCGCGGCGGGGAGGGGAAGTGGGCGGGGCGCCGCCGGAAAGGGGGCGGGCCGCGGAGCCTGGGCCCCAGGCGGCGGCGGCGGCGGAGGCGCAGGACTTGAGGGCTAGCGGTCTGGCCGGGCGGGATGAGCGGGCCCGGAGCAGCCGGCTCGGTGCGCGGGCTGCGGGTGGACGGGCTGCCCCCGCTGCCCAAGAGCCTGAGCGGGCTGCTGCACTCGGCGTCGGGCGGCGGCGCGTCGGGGGGCTGGAGGCACCTGGAGCGGCTGTACGCGCAGAAGTCGCGCATCCAGGACGAGCTGAGCCGCGGGGGCGCTGGCGGCGGCGGGGCGCGGGCCGCGGCGCTGCCCGCCAAGCCTCCCAATCTGGACGCCGCGCTGGCCCTGCTGCGCAAGGAGATGGTAAGAGAGGTCCGCGGGCTGGGGCGGGGGTCCTTCCCCTCCCGGCTCGCCGTCCCGGGAAAGTTCGCCGGAAGTCCCCGCGACACCCGCCCGTCTCCGGCTCTTTTGCCCCAAGCGCCGGCGCCGAAAGAGGGACGCTGTCCGCTCTGTGCCCGCGACTGGACCCTCGCCCTGGGAGGGTACCCCTCTCAAAAGGCAGCTTTTTGGAGACCGGGCTCCCCTAGTCCGGCCCCAGCTGGCTTAGAGACCCGGGAGGCGCGGCGTGGGGCTGGCGCTTGGCCTAGGGCCGGGGGCGGCTGGTCACCCCTCCCCAGAGGGCAGCAGACCCCCCGGGTCGGGGAGCGGCCATCGCTGCGCGCGAGGGCTTCAGAGCTGTGTGCGATTGTGTTCTTCTGCCCTGAAGAGGAACAGCTTTTTGTCCTTGCGAGTGTAGACGGCAGATGGGAACAGCCCTCGCCCCTCCCCCGCGCCCGAGGCGGCGCGTGCAGAATTGGATTACGGCGGAGCGGCTCCGGCCCACAGATGGCCGTGAAAGCCACCGCTCGACCTGACCGTGTCCGCGCGGTACGGCGACACCCCGAGCCCGCTCGGGAGGAGTGGGGCGGTGGCATGCTCGCCGTCTGGGTGAAGCCCGTGCTGGTTCTTCAGGTTGTGTCCGGGCTCTAAACAATGGGGCTTAGTTTTTCCGCAGTCGTTGGGAAGTATGTTAGGTGTTTGTGGACCAGGACGCACGACTTAGGGTGACGCCAGAAGCAACTCAAGGACAGGGATTTGGGTGGCAGAGAGCCTTTCTCCAGCCTTCTCCAGGCTTAGGCCAGCCTAGAAGAGAACAGAAGAACTTCCTCCTTCTAACCCTCCCGCAGGGCCGCTGAGCACCTTCCCCGGGCCACCCTCTCTCTTTCTAGAATTTGCCCATTCCTTTTACCTAGTGCAGGTTTTTCCCCTCTCCTGGCACAGGTAAATACTTTATTAAGGAAATCTGCTATATGAAAACTGCTTTTTCCCCAAGAATAAATTTACCAAAACATTTATAATAGGAATCCTTTAAATATGCATCGAGTGCATTAAGATATTCTTTAGAAAAATTCAATTTATGCATTTTTTCAGGAGCATATCTGTTCTGAAAACTAAGAATTAAATCTAGAAAAACAGCCTTAACACCTTTTAATCAATTAGATATTGTCTTCCCCCTCCGTGGCTGCCACTGAAGTGATTTCCAGTTCTCTACGAAAAGATTTTTCTAAGCTTCTTACAGAATGACTTAAATTCCAAGCCAACTGTTCTAAATTTATTAATAAACATTAATCGACACCAGCATTGCACAGCTGGTAAGCTGTGTTTTAATTAGATAAATGTACACCGAGTATGTTTACAGCCTGAACTTGGATGCAGCATAAATACGGGGGTGAAATAGGAAGACCCATCCTGGTTAAGTTACCAGAACAGAGACAGGAAAACCTCAGAGAGGTTTTTTCCTGTTGTGAAGCTCTCTCTGCTTTGTGAAAGTGCTTTGGAGTCTCACACACTCCCAAGTGGGAGTAAACATGCCCTTCCCGAAAGTGTTTTTCCAGGTCCCTCCTGGTGCAACTGAAGTAGAGCCACAGCCTTCTCATTATGCCTTGGACCAGAGCTCTCTCAAAGCCTATCTGAAGCACAAGGAAAGTAAACAGCCATCTTAGGTCTGTCTGATATTTAGCTGAGAACAAGACAAAATATGGCTACAGGCCTTGACAGGTCCCTCCCAAGAAACGTCACAAGGTCTTTTGAAGTACTCTGGTTTTTTGGCTTTTTGAGATTTACTAACCTAGGGCAGTGGGGTCTGAGTGGTCACCTCAAACTGAGGCTCCCACTGGGGGGCCTTGCAAGATCAGAACGGAGAGTTCGTGCCTGAATTATCTGCCTAGTAGTTTGTGTTGATCTGTTGACTCTGAAGGCCTGAGGTCAGATCTGTGTCAAGGGACCTAACTAGAAGTCCTGGCAGAATGAAATTAGTTCCTTTTGAAACAGTCCTGTGCCAGCACAGAAAGAGGGCCAGCTTCCAGCAGCAGTAGTGCGGAAGGCATCAGAAGGTGGCTGCATTTTAAGAAGAGAGAGGGTGATAGGAGTCTAGCAGCACAGCCAGCCCGAAGGGCGCTCCCATTGGAATAACGCAGGAGTGGACATTGCAGCTGCGAGGGGCCGGGGGCCGGGGCCGGGTGGGTTGCGGAAAGCCTCCAGTAGCAAAGGAAGGGGTTGAGCCGGAGAGCTGGCTTGGAAGCGTTGATGTGATAGCAGGGCGCTGAGGAGGGAGAGCTGGGCCTGGCAGACGCTAGAGGTATGGTCGGGGCAGGTGAGAGCCTCCGGCAGCATGGGGACCCGGGAATGGGAAACAAGAATCAAATGGGGGCTACTTCTCTGAAACAGAATCTGCAGGAGTTGCTGATACAATGTTAGGAGTCAGGGACAGTGATGCTGAGGAGCCAGAGATGACTTAAGTGTTTTAATGGAAAGTGCAGCTAAGCAAAACAATGAAAAATTACAGTCCTAGCACCTGGAGATAGTCACTGTTAATATCTGGGTGTATCTCCCGATAGGCACAATGTAAATGCTTTCCTTACATCGTCTTATTTGAATTTTATAACTTCTCCACAAGAGAGGTACTGAAAGTGTCTAGTTTAAAAAATATGACTCAGAATTTAAGTAACTCACCTAAGGCGGACAAACTCAACCAGATGTGTCCGGCTCCAAGACCCTGTTTAATCACTGCATTTTACTACTTTTGGGGGGCACATATTACAAATATTTTCTAGATCAATGTATACTATAATGTCTTCTCTCACTCCATAGTGTGCCATTATATGGCAGTAATAACCTTGATAATCCATCATGGGGAAAGTGGGGTTCATCACAGCACTAGGGGAGTCAGGAGGAGTGGCTGCTTATGGGGGAAGGTGGTTTGCCATTACATCAGCGGAAGAGCATGTTAAACATTTCAGAATGTGGAGCTGGAGGCTGGCAGAGTCTGGCCTGGAGATAACTGATTGATGCACGGTGAGGGCAGAACCTGGGGAAGCTGGTGTGCAGGGGCGCCCGTGTGGGCAGAGGTTCTGTCCCGTGACTGGCGACGCCCTGCTCTGCTCTGAGAGTGCTGGTTTCCTGTCCTCATAACAGGGTAACTCTGAAGTTCTGTGCTCCTGTGACTTCCCTTCCCCTCCCCTAGCGAGCTCGTTTGGAGAGCTGGGAGGGTCACACAGATGCTTATTGCTCTTTAGACCTGAAAAAGTCCTTTAAAACAAGAAGCTGAGATTGTTGTTTGTTTGTTTGTTTGCCAACATCAGAGAATAGTTTTGGATCATATTCAACAGATGTTGACCGGGTGTCTGCTAGTTACAAAGTGTTGTGGAGGACACAGAGGTGAATAGGAAGTATCTAGGTGTTAAGAAGCTTATAACATCTGGCAGAGGTGGGCCTCTTTGCAGCAATATGATTGCTGTAGTTTAGACCACTTGTCATTTTTTCATGTCTGAAGACTCTGTATTAGTAATAGAGACTCAGTTTGAACCAACTCTTGCAAAAGGAGAACCTTGTAGGGCTGCATGTGTACAGAGACAGACTAGAACCAGGGTTGATGGGGAACCCAGGAAGGCCATTGTATTCTCCTTTCCCCTCCTTTTTATGTAAAAAAATTTTTTCCCTACATTTTGGAATGTGGCTGCCGAAAGTGTCCACACTCCCAGGTTCAGCCATGCTTCGTTTTTAAAAATATTTATTTATTTATTTATTTGGTTGCGCTGGGTCTTAGTTGCAGATACGGGGCTCCTTAGTTGCGGCTCGCCAGCTCCTTAGTTGTGGCACGCAGGCTCCTTAGTTGCAGCCTGATGGATCCTTAGTTGCGGCTCGCCGGCTCCTTAGTTGTGGCACATGGACTCCTTAGTTGTGGCATGCAAACTCTTAGTTGTGGCATGCATGCTGGAATCTAGTTCCCCGTCCAGGGATCGAACCCGGGCCCCCTGCACTGGGAGTGCAGAGTCTTGTCCACTGCACCACCAGGGAAGTCCCTCAGCCATGCTTCTTACTGCCACTTTGAAAATACTGTGTGGAAGGATGCCAGTGGGTCCAGCTTGGTGGGGTCTGGCCAGCCTGGGCCAGCTATCGGTGACCGAGGGCAGGATGGTATTTTACTACGATGGTATGACCACGTGGATGGGGTTCGGGGCTGTGCATCCCTCAAAGAAAGAACAATTTGCAGAAATGGAGCAGGGGGCAGCTGTTGGACAGCCAAAGTACTAGATGTCTACCGCAGACTTTTTCTGGATAAGAATACTTTGCCCTCAAGGCCCCCATAGTTTCAAAGATTTTTATCTGCCACGCTGACAGGATAGCTTGGCTCAGAAGATCTCGGTTGGCGTTTCAAATCCTTGCGTGTGGTTGAAGGACACAGGTGACTCTCAGGGTCCCCAGGGACCTGGCACACGCCTTTCCCTGCAGGGTTCTTCAGAGACCACTGGCCAGCAGCCCTGTGGGGTTAGCGCATCAAGCTTAGGTCCTCAAAAGCGTCCCACGGAAGCGGAGAGACACAACGAGAGCCTCAGCCGTGGGGCTGGGAGATGGCCGTGTCTGTCCTCGAAGATACGGGGTCCGTGTCTTCTTGGGTTCCACTCCTCAAACCAGCAGCACGTTCTAGTAGCTTTGAAGACTCTTGGCCTCATTTTTTTTCTTTTTGTCTTCAAACTGTCCAGCAGTTACTTTGGTCACCCACTTGTGCGTGAGTGGGAAGTCACCCGCGCAGAACTTTCGAGTTCCAGAGCTGCAGTGGTTTGGGTGAAGAATTTAATCTGAGAAAAAGGATTTGATTCCTGAGAGCAGCAAGACTTATCTTTCCCGCATTTCAGTTGAGACAACAGCTAAAGGCCTAATGAGCTTGTCCAGTGAACTGTATTCTAGGAGACAGGCATGAGCTTGAGTAGTCCAAATCCCCGCAGCGTTCAGTCCTCGTCCTACACACGAAACTAGCGTCTCAG